CCCCAGGGTCTTGGCCCCTGCTGGCTGCTGCCCTTCCCTGCTGTTCCCTGCGCCAGCGCTGGCTGCTGCCCCTCCTGCCCGCCTGCCTTTTCGGTGCTGAGCCCCGCTACTGGGGCTGCCCCAGGCACGTTACAGCCTGGGGGGGATGGACTCCCAGACAACGAGTCCTCTGCCTCTGGTGCCATTTCCCCCAGAGGAGCACAGAGCACCCCCCACCCGACACCTGATCGGATTCTTCCTGCCTAGGCAGCATCTCCGGCACTGACCCTCCAGCATAGGCAGGGGAAGCCCTGCACCAAGGAACACTGCTGAAGGGAGGAGACAGATTTAAAACAGCAGTAACTGAGAAGTGGGGAGGGAAAGGCACAGAGAAACAGACAAGTACAAAGCTGTACCAATAAAGGGGGGTGGGACTGGGACAATGTTTATAGTGGTGGGTGCTGAGAGCCCTTGGACTAAGCCTTGTATATAATAGAAAACACTTCAAGCTAAGAGAGGTGGTAGCACCCCAAGGTCTAGCACCTCTGCATAGACCTGGCCACAGCAAATATGAAAAACAGATGGAGGAGACCTTCCCCAAATACAGAATTGCAGATTGTAAACTAGGAGGAGAATGCATAATGGAAACCTAGAGAAGAACTGTCTAAGGGGAGAGATTGAAACAGCATTCATCTCTGCAATGTACATAATATGGAGCCATGCAACAAGACACATCCTCAAATTATCAGAACAAAAAAGAAAGGACTTTTCATAAAAATGGAGAGAAACTTTGTGCTTGATTCTAGATAAAGGAAAGAGATGTCAGAAAAAATAGCATCCCACCAAATCAGAAATTCACAATATTTGCAAAGGGCCATGGAACAAAATCAGTGTCCTATCTGATGGAGACATTTGTCTTCAGATGGATATTGTGACTCTGTTTTAAACTTTGGCAGTACTTATCTAATACATCTGTAATATCAGGGAAGACTTTTATTGGTGGCATCTCAGCATGCGTATGCGATATTTCCAGACTGCTGAACTGACTTTTAGAAATACATTAAATATTAAACTTTGAGCATTCTTAACATTGCTGCCAAGAACCAGCCTTGAATTCACTTATGACAATTACTTCTTAAAATATTTTGAGGCACCTTAAAATGTGGAGTCTGCTAGTGGGATTATTTTGTCTTTGGAACCTTTCATTTTCAGTACTGTATCCTCTGTCCTCATTCAAACCTTCCAGACACATTATTGGGCCAACTTCCCGTTTACCCATGTTACATTTTAGCAGAGGAAAACTATCATCATTTCCCGACCTTTTAATGTATTTATTATATTTGGGTTTCCCTCAGCTTCAAGGCAAGGTCCTCATTCTTACAATATGCGCTGCTGGGATTGGAGGGACTTTCCAATATGGCTACAACATCTCTATCATCAATGCTCCAACTACAGTAAGTGCACTACTGGTTTTTGCAGTCATCTCCTGAGATGGTGAATCTTGTGAGGTCTAAACTCCGTAGTCCTTGCAGGGATCCTCAATATCCACCAGCCTTGGAAAAAACAGGCATATGTTGCCAAAAACCTTCAGCCAGCTACTACTGAAGCTGGAAAGTAAAGGAAGGATTTGCGTCCTTTGCATAATTAATAATTTAGCTCTTGCATCATAAGAACATAAGAACAGCCCATACTGGGTCAGACCAAAGGTCCATCCAGCCTAGTATCCTGTCTGCCGACCATGGCCAATAACAGATGCCCCAGTGGGAGTGATTACAACAGGTAATCCTCACGTGATCCCTCCCCTGTCACCCATATGCTAGCAGTGTTACAGCTAAGACTCAGAGGAGGTTATTATGAGCACAGATTTGCCAGTCAGAATCTTTTGCAAGTAGTCAGAGCTTTAGCAAATATAATTCTCAAACTTTCCAGTCTAGAAAACCATTTTTACAAGTTAGATCCATTTGTCTTACCTTATACAATAGTATTTTTTAAAACAGTCTACAAAACATATGACAACAACTTACCTGATTCCCTGCTGGCTAGCTCCCTGGCCCTGGGGACTCTGTGGTCACTGCGATGTTCTGTGTGCTCTCTACTAAATGTTCTAATGGATCTGGAACTTGGTGGTATGTTTTGGGGGCCCTGAAATGACCGGGAGAGAAAGGTTAGTTTAAAATGAGTTATGTAGAGAGCATCCCCTTTATTTTGCTATTGGGAGCAATCAGTGTGTAGTGTCCAATCATGCACTCTTCAGAATCAAACTTCCTTACTGAATTCAGGATTGGGCTCATTAAACACCTTTAGAACTTTTTTTTTTAAATATACAAGATAATTTCCCTTTGTAAAGGCAATGTGTCTACTACAGCTTCTTGGCAACTAAGATAAGGGGATGACAAAAACACAGCATTGGAACTGAATGCTTTCTTCATGCTGAGCGTGGCACTCATGACCATGTGTAAATAAGACTAACGCAAAGAAAGCCATTGCTATTTCTCAGCCATCACTATTTTTGCATCCCTATCCAGTGAAGTGACTCTTCTCCTTCGTTTACAGTACATCCAGGCATTTATAAATGAAACGTGGCTGGAGCGCACAGGTGCGTCCCTGGAGAGTGGTGTGATATTGCTGGTGTGGTCTTTCATTGTCTCTATCTATTCTCTGGGGGGACTCACTGGAGCTCTCATTGCAGGCCCCATGGCGATCAAGCTGGGAAGGTAAGAGGCTTCTGGACCTTGAACGTGGTAGATGATTGTTCATTCATGTAATGCCTGTGCCACATTGGGATGTTAAACTAGCAAGAGCCCAACTCCAAATTACCCAACTTGACTGGAAGCCGTGGAATTCATTCTTAATCTAAGAAAATAAACCTTTAAAGGGAGCTACCTTGCATGGTAGCATTTCACTCCTCATCATCCAGTGGAGCACAGTCCTTTGCACCATCCTCAACCAGGATAACACAACATACCGCAGGAAAGTGTGCTGTCTGCACCTAAGTTGTTGTCACAGTGAAAGTAGGAGGCATACACAGAATTAATGGGGAATGGGAACTGGTAGGAATGCTGCACAAAACCCATCACCTGAGGCTGCATGAGGACCTTAGGAGAAGAGCGCAGCTAGGAAAGTTGCATCACCTTCTTAGTCAGGGATCAGGTCAATGAAGGTTTGTTGTTGTTTTGGCTTCTCACTTGTGTGTGGCCCCAGCCCTAAAAGGGTTCCCTGCCCCTGGCTTACAGTGTGTGTGATTATCCGCCGAGTCTTCCAACCTGTGTTTGGGAGCGTATACAAAAAAGTCTGTTTTTTCTTACCTTCAAATTTCACACGTGGTAATGGAACCTCCCACTCTCTCTGGAGAAACAATGCTTTTTATTGTGCAACCGCAGAAGGGACCGGTACGCTGGCCTCTCTGTCCAACTCCGGAACTTCCTTTAGCAAGGTGTGCCAATGCTGTGCTTTTGGGAGAAACTCCCGTTTTACCATTTCAGTAGGTCATCAAGGTCCAAAGCATGGGGCTGTCTTCCAGAGCTCACCCTGTTCCTCGGGGAGGGGTGTACATCCTGATGTTTTGATTCTTCTGTTGCATTAAAAAACAGATTTTGTTAAGTGCAAATGCAGGAGCAATGAATCAGCCTGGTTCTCCGACTCTGGTCCTGCAGGCATCTGTTGTCTTAGTTCACAGTGGACAGGATTCCACTCTTTGTAGTGTGCAATACAGATGACATCTTATCTGCCAAGGTCAAGCTCAATTTTCATAGCTGGACACTTAAGTTAGTGAGCTCCAGTGGGCCATGTAGGCACCAGAAAAGGGTATTGGGGCTGTAAGGCTACATCTACACTGCAGTGCTATTTTGGGATACTTCTGGTATCCCAAAATAGCTATTCCTCATCCTTTGAGCGTAACCGTTATTTTGAAATATAACGGGCTTGCTATTCCAACATCCCTGTAAAATGCATTTCATGAGGAGTAAGGGACATTTTGGAATAGTGATTTATTTTGAAATAAGTGCTGTGTAGACAACGCCAAATTCTGAAACCAACTATTTTGAAATTGACTCGAAATAAGAAACGCAATTTGCCTAGCTCAAATTGTGTCGCTTATTTCAAACTTCAAGTGCAGTCTATCCACATCCTAAGTGCCCCTCTGAACATGCAAGAGTAGAATAGGCCCCCTGAGTTAAACTTTCAGTTGTAGGAAATTGCACTGCATGAGACTCAGGTCACCAGCCCTGGTGAACGCTGATCCTTCAATCCTGTTTCTGTTCTCTCTGAAGGAAGACGTCCTTGCTGCTGAATAATGCGTTTGTGATCATAGCTGCAATCTTGTCGGGATTCAGCCAGATGGCCAAATCCTTCGAAATGATCATGCTTGGCAGATTTTTTACTGGAATCAATGCTGGTATGGAACAGTGATACTAGGATAATGAGGGCTGTAAAAACACCAATACAAATGTATGTGGCATTATGTATATGATCCCTGGTGCTGTATTTGGCATTGAACTCAGGACCCCTTCAAGGCCCCTTCTAGGCTCTATATCATACAAAATATTCAGAACAGAATAATGCCAGGAATTTTCCATCCATGTGCGGAATAAATGTTTATGTGCACTAAAGGCATGTGTGAATGTGCACCACCAGTAGAAACCACAAACCAGCTGTGGGTTCTCTGCTAATTATTAAATATGCTTGATCTCATACTAGCCCCTTAAAAAAAGGGGGGATGGTTTTGTGGTTAGGCCACTGCTAATCAGCTGGGTGGCATTTTAATCTTTCCTGAGCAGCTGCACAAGCGCACAGCTTGCAGGGAGCAGGGAATGCTGGGAGGGACTTACTGCAGTAGCTTATGTTGTGGTGTGTAGGTTGAACTATGCTGGGAATCTTCCCCACAGCTTACCCACATTTAGGCTCCATTATAGCCCCAGTCTCTGCCTATGCAAAATAAATTCCATATACACATTCCCGCACGTTGCCGGTGAAAACATCCCCGTGGCACGTGAACAGTTTTAGCATCTACTCAACGCCAATGAAAAACGTGCTCCTGCAAACCCGCCTGAAAAGCTTTTGTGTCTACAAATTCCAAACGGGCTTGTACCAGGGTTAGAACGTTTAAAGAGCGTGCAGCCTTTTGCATCTGCATAATACACAGATATGAGCCTATGCAGTTTTGCATGACACACCTGGAAGCCATTTAGACGTGTGGCAGAAAATGTATCCCTTACCTGCCTCTAGCCAGTATTATTAGTCATTCACCCGCAGGGCACTAAAAATGGGAAATACTGTTGCAGCTTTAATAATGGTAATCTATGTAGCCTTCTTTGAAAAATGTAAAGTTGCTTTTTGTTAGCCTATAGTCCTTGCAAACACATTAATGTATATTTAGCAAAATCACAGTGAATTAGCGGCAATAGAAATATATTGGTGTAAATAATAGTCAGTGCAAGCAGCAGTTTGTGTAACAAGCAGAGAGATTACAGCTAACTACCTCATCTAAGGGCTCTTTGAATTTTTTTATGTACATTTTGAGAGTCTAAGCTGAGGTCAGTGTTTGTCTCCTTATACAGGGGTGAGCATGAACATTCAGCCCATGTACCTGGGGGAAAGTGCCCCCAAGAAGCTCCGAGGAGCAGTGACTTTGACTTCTGCGTCATTTACTGCCCTGGGGTTGGTGCTAGGCCAAGTGGTTGGCATCAGGTAAGGCGCACCATGGTTAATATGATTGCCACTATGCTTTGGTGCTCAGCCGGATCCATGTGTACACTGCTATGGCAGCTGCACAGATAAATGGGCAGAAAGGTGCAAAAAGACGGTTTGCTGCTGCTTTCAGACAGGGAGGGAGGGAGCAGACGAATGCATTATGGGACATTGACAATGTGTACCCAGAGCCATTGCTGCACAGTTTTGGTTCCAGCATGCACTAGGACCATAACCCAGGAAGTAAAGGGCGCAGGCACCGTGGAATAGCTACCCACAATGAACGGCTCTCAAAGATGGCCATAGCCACCTACTGAGGGCATGCTACTTCAAACTGCATCGAATTCTTGCACACACAGGGGACATGCACCTTTGACTTTACAAAGTTGGGTGCTAAAAAATCAACCTTAATACATTCGACTTTATCGCTCAGTGTAGACAAGCCCTGGGTGTAAGTGAGTGTGCTGTTTTCACTTACTCGCTATTCAACGGATGTACAAACGAGCGTAACTTGCATGAATTTGGGATTCTGTGGACCAAATTCTGCAGGAACATTGACTTCAGTAGGAAACATGCCTTTGTACCTCAGGGCTGAAGTTGGCTTCGTGTGCTAGGGGAGAAGATGTATGTGAGTATGTGGGGCAAGACTTTTGTGTTAGTGCTACAACCTCACCACTGCCCCTCTTGGTGCAAAAGCTGCTTTTTTATCGCACTCGTTGATGACCAAAGTGATACAGTGACTACCCTCGCTCTTTTGGGATGCTGTCCGTTAGTGGTACTGAAAGCACCTCACACGTAGACTACGTCTACACTGCAGGCTTCTTGCACAAGAACTTTTTGTGGAAGAGATCTTCTGCAAAACGTTCTTGCACAAGAGCACATCCACACTGCCATGTGCTTTTGCGCAAGAAAGCGTCCACACTACCATGGACGCTCTTGCGCAAGAAAGCTCTGATACGAATGGCCATCAAAGCACCTGTGCTTTTTGTGATAGGGGTTTCTTGCACAAGCAACCCCTGTTGTCCATCCACATGTGCCTTTTTGCATAAGAGCTCTTGTGCAAAAAGATTTATTCCTCATAAAAAGAGGAATAACTCTTGCACAAAAATCCCTGTCTTCTGACAATCTACTGTACTTTTTCTTGCACAAGAATGTGCTTGTAGTGTGGACGCGCCGTGAGTTTTTGCACAAAAACAGCTGGTTTTGTGCAAAAACTCTGCAATGTAGACATGGCCCTAGTGTGTAACTTGTACCACATTTATGCCATTTTAGCCCAGAAACATCTACAGGAGTTGCACTTTTTTATTCCAGCTTGCATTTTGCCTTGTGTCTAAAGAGGCTCTGCATGTTTTAGAAAGGGCCTCGTGAATTTAGTGAGCTTGAAAACCTGCTGCTCTGTCAATCCCAAAATAGATGCAGAGCTGCAGTGCTCCTGGCTCAGCCCTGTACATGACACTCTACACTGCTTACTTTGATCAGCCAGTCCCGAAGTAGCAATAGAATTTCCCTGTTGCGCGTGACAGTCACTGGCTGGATAGAGTCCTTCCAAGAGGTGCAGAAAAGACAGCCAAGTGTGCACTGTGCCCGGAGGAAAATGCATATGGGTGAAACCTTAAGAGGAGAATGAAAACCCCTCAGTACCAGAATGACTGCAGCAGTGTATCCACAGCCCAGAAAGAGAGATGGCGTCTGCTCTATACCGGTCCTTACCACCACGTCACTAAGCCAGGCCAGCGATGGGCAGCCAAGGCTAGTGAATGGTCCGTCTTCATCTCTGTGAGCTGCAAGACTGATGTTGGTCACGTGCACTAAGCATGACCCAAGAATAAGATTAAGTACACAGCACACTGAATCGTTCACAACAAGCAGCAATGCTTTAATCATTCACATATTAATGGAACTGTCATCCACTTCACACAATAATAATAATAATAATAATAATTAATAATAAAGGAATATTTGCACTTACTTTACAATACATAGTATTCAGCGTGGCTTCTGGTTGGATCTGTCCTCCCCAAGTTAGGAGGAAGGGATATGCAGATGCTTCACAATTCAGCACTGACCTTTCCATCCATTATATCCATGCCCAGCCCCTTCCCTGCCTCCTCTCCCTCGCATGTCCTGTCCCTGCTGCTCCCCCTCCCTCTGAGCACTTCTGGAGTGCCATCAATCCGCTGACCCATGGTGTTTGAGCTCTGAAAGGGGCGGGAGGAACGGGGATGGGGTGCCAATCAGCCGGCTCACAGTGCTCTGGAAGTGCTGAGAGGGAAGGGTAGGTAAATGCGGGGCCCTCAGTGCACGAGAGTCATGGGGAAAGGGATCGGGGGGTACGTGGGACGCACATGGAACTCCAATGAGCTGCATGAGGCTCACGGTAGCAGGTTGCCCACCACACTTTCTAAAAGTGCATTCTGCCTCCCCTTGTGCCAAAAATGCTCAGGGGGGGCCATAGTCTGGAATTGACTCCCCCAGACTCTTCTGTTCCTTAATATCTCACTTACCCATCTCACCCTCTGAGCCAAGTCCTTCTCCCAATGAGGAGACATGTTAATCACGCCCCATCTGTCCAGGTTGATAGGGCTGCCTTGTCTTCTTTTCAGAACGGCTGTCCAATACACAAAAGCAGCAGGGCTGCCTGTAGTTTTGGTGCGTAGGCGGGTGGGGAGGTTTGGTGTAACTCACTGCCCGTCCCCCTACCCCACACCACTGTGTGAGTTTTGGTGCCCCTGACTGTGACCCAAAGCCTATTCAAGTGGGTTGTGTCTACACTGGCATCCCTTTCCGGAAAAGGGATGCTAATGAGACACTTTGGAATTGCAAATTCCGCGGGGGATTTAAATATTTCCATTTCCATGGCTGCCGCTTTTTTCCGGCGCGGGGTTTTGCCGGAGAAAAGGGCCAGTCTAGACGGGATCTTGCGGAAAATAAACCCTTTTCCGGAAGATCCCTTATTCCTACTTGAAAGGAAGTAATGTAGACACAGCCATGGAGTTCTCTAACCCATTGGCTGGGACAACCTTGCAGCCCACTAAGATGAAGGAGGTCACTCATGCAGCCCAGTCACTAGCCTTGGTTGCCTCTGGCTACTCTAACCCTTCATTCTGTGGCTGCCATTTTATGCCTCTGGCCTGCTCTCCTGTCGTCTCTCAGCACCGAGCCTACCTGCAGGCAGCGTAGAGAGCGAGAGCAGGGCTGACGGTCAAACCCAGCTCTCCCACAGCCTGTGGTGCTGCCACCCGTTCGCCCAGCCAGCTCACAGCTCTGTGTTCTGCCTTCTGAAATGTATGATTGATTGAACTTATCTATGTGTTATTTTTCTTCAGAGAACTATTAGGTGGGGAGGAGAGTTGGCCTCTTCTTTTAGCCAGCAATGTGGTGCCCGGACTGATCCAGTTGATGACTCTGCCATGGGTACCAGAAAGCCCCAGATACCTCTTGATTGACCGAGGTGACAAGGAGTCCTGCATCTGTGGTGAGTGCCAAGTGGTCGTGTTAATGTCTGATGCAGGAGGTAAGATTTGTGGATGGTGCAAATGAGCTGATGATCGTTTTATTGCACAAGTCACATAGCTTAGTCCAGCCTATTTAGCCTGGAGCAAGCAGCATGAACTCTACGGTTTTTCAATATTCCGTCTTGTGGTGCTACTGGCCTCCCGTAATGGTTACCAGATGCTTGTGCCCAGGCAATGTCTATGCCACTTTCTGCGGGACATTTAAGGGGACAGTTTTCAAAAATAGCGGCCCATGTTCTTTGTGCATAAAATGTGCACACAAAAGTGCAGCCTCAGCTGCATTTGCACTTGGATACTGCAAGGTAGGCAGCTACCTCACCATTTGCACATACAGTTGTAATAGTTGTACATGCAAACAAGTGTGCATTTGTACCCAGCCTCCACTGTTTCAGAATTGCCCTCAGTTATGCTGTACGGTATGTTACTGTAAGTGTCATGCAAAGAGCAGGCAGGATAAATATGTGATTATATCTTTCTTCCAAACTAAAGTGCAGTTTACATGATGACTGTTTTTCTTTAACTTGTTAAGGTATTTATTTGTTGCTGCAAATGACTTTTTCACTACATATAGTGACTCTAAAGTGTATTATCATGTAACCTGCTCTCTGTTTAAGGATACCTAGATAACTTCATATGTAGCCTGTAACTATGATGTAAAATAAAGGTTAGATAAAGATTTCAGTGGCCAAATATGAATCTATCTCATATAAAGAAATTTGTAATATACAGATCTCCATATGTGGACCAAGCTGGAATTAAACATGCGCTATGCACCAAAAAAATCTTCACTCCTTCAGGGTACATCTACACAGCAATATTATTTCAAAATAACTTAGTCCATGTCTACACAGCAAGCAGTTATTTCGAAATAATGTTGAAATACTATCAAACTGGAGGACTTATTACTCTGACTCCTGTAACCCTCACTGTACGAGGAGTAAGGGAAGTTGGAGGAAGAGCACACTATTTCGAAATAAGTGCTGTGTGGACGATTCCGATTTTGAAATAAGCTACGCAATTGACGTAGCTGATTTTGTGTAGCTTATTTTGAGTTAATCCCTGCTCTGTAGATGTGCCCTTAGATTCACTGGAGAGCTACCAAAGTGTAAAATTATGAGAGCCATAAGCATGGTTGCTGAAATTGCAAATGGTTAGAAATGCTATCTGCTAGGAAAGTGCCATGGATTTTGTCACGTCTTTTCCCTCAAAGTCTTTCTGATAGCTTCATCATGCAGAGCACATCTTGCCTTCCCTGCTTGTCAAAGAGGATTTCTCATTTCATGAAGTCCTACCACTACGCTGCTCTCTATGGCTGTCTCTTGCCACCCAATCTCTCACTCCCACAAGGAGATGAATGGATGAAGTTAAAGCACTTTCATACAGCAGATAAACCCCATCTTTTCCCTGACAGCCTTGCAGAAGCTGAGAGGTAGCGATGACCTGAGCAGCGAGCTGGAGGAAATGCTAGCAGAACAGGCTGCCATCAAAGGCCAGAGGGCAAAAAGGCCATGGGAGCTGTTCCAGAACCCAGCTGTGAGATGGCAGCTAATAAGTATCATCGTGCTGAGCAGCGCCATGCAGCTCTGTGGAAACGACTCGGTGAGCATGAGAGCCTCCATGTCATCAGCAGGCGTTGGGTATAAGCCAGCGATGCAAGGAAGACTTGTCACAGTTTGGGGAAACGGAGGCCCAGAACCTCCCTCTGTTCTGGAGGGGTGGGGGCAAGTTAGCCACTTTCCTTGTGGAGTTTCTCTCCGGAGAGCAACGTGAGCCTACCCACGCAGGAGAAATGGGTGTCGAGAACTGAAATAAAAGCAGGGGAAATGGTGGCTTAAAAAGAGAGGCAGGGATAAAGGGAAGGGCAGGGCCTTGCCGCCATCCACTCAAGGGCACGAAAGGGTGGACAAGGAGAGACCAGATGGAGATGCCCAAGAAACTAGAAAACAGGAATGCGTGAATGTAAATGCATTTGCAGAAATATGTGCATAATGGTCTTCTGAGATATCACAAATTGAGGAGTGGCACGGAGTGCCTGACATTGCTCAGGAGTGGCCTGTGATGGGGGCTAATTTACGCCATCCACTCAAGGGCACGAAAGGGTGGACAAGGAGAGACCAGATGGAGATGCCCAAGAAACTAGAAAACAGGAATGCGTGAATGTAAATGCATTTGCAGAAATATGTGCATAATGGTCTTCTGAGATATCACAAATTGAGGAGTGGCACGGAGTGCCTGACATTGCTCAGGAGTGGCCTGTGATGGGGGCTAATTTAGCTACAACTAATCAGGAAAGAGATTTTGGAGTCATTGTGGATAGTTCTCTGAAGACGTCCACGCAGTGTGCAGCGGCAGTCAAAAAAGCAAATAGACTGTTAGGAGTAATTAAAAAAGGGATAGAGAATATCTTATTGCCCTTATATAAATCCATGGGATACCCACATCTGGAATACTGCGTACAGATGCGGTCACCTTATCTCAAAAAAGATACACTGGCATTGGAAAAAGTTCAGAGAAGGGCAACTAAAATGGTTAGGGGTTTGGAATGGATCCCATATGAGGAGAGATTAAAGAGACTGGGACTTTTCCGCTTGGAAAAGAGGAGACTGAGGGGGGATATGATAGAGGTCTATAAAATCATGAGTGGTGTGGAGAAAGTGAAAAAGGAAAAGTATATATAAGTATAATATAAGAACTAGAGGACACCAAATGAAACTAATGGGCAGCAGGCTTAAAACAAATAAAAGGACGTTCTTCTTCACACGGCGCTTAGTCAATCTGTGGAACTCCTTGCCTGAGGACGTTGTGAAGACTAGAATGATAACAGAGTTTACAAGAGAACTAGATAGATTCATGGAGGTCAGGTCCATAAATGGCTATTAGCCAGGATGGGTAGGAATGGTGTCCCCAGCCTCTGTTTGTCAGAGGGTGGAGATGGATGGAATGAGATAGATGGCTTGGTCGTTACCTGTTCGATTCACTCCCTCTGGGGCATCTGGCACTGGCCACTGTCGGCAGACAGGACACTGGGCTGGATGGACCTTTGGTGTGACCCAGTACGGCCATTCTTATGATCTTATTTGCCAGACCCTGGTACATTGGGCACAATGGAAGGGTCATTTTTGTTCTAGGGGAGAGATCTGTACTCTCTTTGCCTGCGCTGTTGGAATACCATTGGAGTTCGTTCATGGATCGCTTTTGCAATTGTGCAGATTGTATATGGACACGGTGGAGAAGCAGTGTGAACACCAGCACAAGTAGCCAGTTCTCGGGGTGACAGTGTTACTCTCCAGAGTGGGAGGGGGAACAAGGTGTCTGAAGGGGTGGGACTGGCAGTGGTTTGCGATGCCAAGACAGCGTCTCTGACAGTTCACTCTCTTTCTCTCTTTCCTAGATGTATTTTTATGCTTCCTATGTGTTCCAAGAGGCTGGAATTCCATATGATAAAATCCAATATGTCATTATCGGCACTGGGTGCTGCGAATTGATCACAGCTGTTACTTGTGTAAGAATCTCTAATGCATTTCGCTTGTGAGTAAACTCCGCTGTTGGACAAAGGCAACTTTCATATCTACAAGAGCTTTCTTCCCACAGAAGCACTTTACAGATTATTCATACTGCAATCACTAAATCTGCCCTTGTGCATTTTCGAGTGTTATGACATTGGCATATTTTTATTAAAAGTGCTGTGTTTTGATAAGGTGTTTACTAGAAAAGAGTTGAGTTTGAAAGTGTTTGAGTGGACACCAGCAACGATTTTTGTTTGTGAATTTGACAGTATTGGAGGGTATCAAGTTCTTCTGTATCCTTAGTCTCTGAATACCAGCTTCTCCAATTCTACATACATATTTAAAATATCAAGGAGTCTTGTGGCACTTTCAAGACTAACAGATTTATTTGGTCGTAAGCTTTCATGGACCAAAATCCTCTTAATCAGATACAGGTTTTTACCCACAAATGTTTATGGCCGAATGAATTTGCTAGTCTTTAAGGTGCCACAGGGACTCCTCATTGTTTTTGTGGATACAAACTAACCCTTCTAAGACTTGTCAAATCTTTAAAACATGCCTGGAGCCAGAGCAATTGTTTGTTCTGACAGTTGCTGTGGCCTGTTAGGGTGCATCTACACAGCATTGTTGTTTTGGAATAGCAATGCAAGCATCTACACCGTCATTCCGTTATTTTGAAATAATTTTGAAATAACAGGTTATTCCAATTCCTGAAACCCTCATTCCACGAGGAATAAGGCCTCTTCTGAAATAGCTGTTTTGGAATAGCAATAGTGTGGATGCTCCACTGCTACTATTCGAAATAGCTCCTGTCCAGACTTCGTATTCAATCCAGCCATACTGATACTGTGCATTGTGGTCAGTTTTCTTTCCCGTAACATAGACACAAAGAGAGAAAATAAATAGCCAGAGACACAGACCCTTTGTCGCTTTGGCTTGCTACTTTGGAGTCAAAAATTTCTCTTAATTTCCCATGATCTTGTGGCAACTCACATGTCTCTTCTGGATGCTCTCAAAGTATTACTTCATTCCCTTGGCCTGCAATCTTGGGGCAGCACACAGCCTGAGAGAGTCTCTGCAAGAGCTTGAACTTTTTGCTCCAATACTGACTTGCTCTGTATTGACCTATTTGCAGCAAAAGGCTGTAGGCTGAAGTTGTGACCAATCCTTGATATCTCCTTGTTGCCCAGCCTGACTCGATCCCATCAACACACCCCTTACTATTGTAATTAATTATCATTGGTTATTATTATTTATTAAATGGGGAGAAGTAGGTTGCCTGGCAAGCTAACTACAGGTGGGAGCGGGGGAGAAAAGTGGGCGAGAGGCATGAATTGCTATGACGTGCCCTGCCTTGCTTTGTTTCAGAATTTAATCATAGAGCGTGCCGGCCGGCGGTTGCTGATTCTGGGGGGATACAGCCTCATGGCTGTATGGGCCATCGTCTTCATGGTTGCTTTATCCCAGCAGGTAACAAAAGCTATCGAATTATCTAAGTCAAGTGGATTCTGGTCCTGCCGCGGATACGGATGGGATATTAAATAGGGGGAGGTGATTACAAATGCCTTAACCTGTATTCCCTTGTTCTCCATGGGAACAGGGCCGGATTAGCTGGATGCCTTACCTCAGCATGGCCTGCATTTTCGCCTATATCCTGAGCTTTGGAATCGGACCAGGTCAGTGATCTGAAGTTTTTTACTCCACCGTTGTGCAACGGCAGGGCTGAAGCATGTTCTCAGCACTCGCATCGCATTGGAATGAAAGGGGCATTACGTTTCACACCCTTGCCACCTGCAGTGTTAGCAGCAGTCCTCAGAGCACGTAGCGACCATCTGTTGTTCTTGGGAGCCATTTCTGTTTGCATCCCTGAAAACAGACAGTGTGACAGGAAACTTGAAGCATAAAAAGAAGTTTCTTCTCTAGGTAGTAACTTTGAGTATGTCTAGACTACATGCCTCTGCCGGCAGAGGCATATAAAATAGGCTACCCGACATAGTCAGTGAAGTGGGGATTTAAATATCCCCGGCTTCATTAAATAAAAATAAAATAAAAAACACCTTTGTTTGCACATTCTTTTCTAGCTGGTGTGACAGGCATTTTGCCGACAGAGATTTTTGATCAAATGTCTCGACCGGCTGCTTACATGATCTGTGGCTCTCTGCTATGGTCCAATCTGTTTGCCGTTGGAATGGCCTTTCCGTTCATTGTGGTAAGTGTGGAAGCGGATACACTATTTTAGTTCACAAACAACTCCAGCAAGACTTACTGGAAGAGACAGGATCTGTAGTGTCTGCAAGTCCCAGGCTTTCTCAAAGCAGAGACTTTGGCTAGAAGTTTAAAAACTAAATTAAATGAGTGGAGATGCCAATCTCCTAGAACTGGAAGGGACAAAGGTCAAGTCCAGTCCCCTATCTTCATATCAGGACCATCCCAGACAGATTTTGCCCCAGATCCCTAAATGGTCCCCTCAAGGACCAAACTCACAACCCTATATTTAGCAGACTAACGCTCAAGCCACTGAGCGATCCCTCCCACTTGCAATTGGAGTAGCAGGGCTGCCTCAGCCATGAATCTGACTGCTTTCCCGAGCATGATTTCTGCTGGAAAAGGATGAGGTTGGAATAGTTTTGTATCCCCGAGAGCCCAATCTGTCCCCAGCTTGGAAAGGCTGGGAGAGGAAATGTTATTAACCAGTGGGGGAGAAACCGTGGGCCATTCCAGTGCCCCAGTATTATTTTGTACAGTGAATCTTGAAAAGAGAGGCTGTGTTTACGTCGTACATCAGCATGAGATATACTGCGGGTCAGGAGAAGATATGAAATCTCCCCACTCCCAACCATATCTCCCAAACTTTCCCTGTCAGTAACAGCCGTTTCCCCTCAGGACCAACCTTTGTGAGTAGAGCCTTGAGCAGATAGAAATGTCTACCTGGGCATGTGGAGATCTGCAGATAGATAATCGGGATCCACAGAGCTCCCAGTGGGATGGAACCACATTCCTCTCCGTTGTCTGCAGCGCTCTTGGAAGTAGACCTCTGTGGACCAGTGTCTATCCAGGGGGGTATCTGCCTCTGCAAGGAGACATTTCTCTCCACGCAGGCCCTTACTTGTAACACAAATGAAGCGTGATCGTATTCCCAGAGATATAAGCCTTATTGCTAGCCCTTTTAGAGGAGAGCTGCTTCTTCATGTATATAAGATCCTTAGTACAGAAATATTTAATAAATTAAGCTATTATACATCGGAAACTATTTGTAGAGGGGCCTTGCCTCAGACTGTGGTACATTTCCAACACTTCTCCTTTTTTTCCCCCTGCAGGAGGGTCTTGCTCATTTCTGCTACCTTCCATTCTTCACCGTTTGCGTCTGCACTGCTCTCTACGTCGGCTTTTTCCTTCCTGAGACAAAGGGGAAGACCTTCCTGGAAATCTCCAAGGAGTTCAACAAGCGCAATTTCAAAGCTCAAACATGTGAGAAGTTTTGGAAAGGCCCCGAGGAAATAAAATCCACCAAGTTATAGTCTGGGAATAAGTAGAGATGGCAGGTGACAGGAAAACATCCTGACCTATTTTGCTTTTCTTTTTAGGGTGGAGTCAGAAGAGGTGGGGGTTAAGGAGAACACACTACTTTTGGTAGCATAGTCGAACGTTTTCATACCAAAGCAGCAAGTTCAGTTGATTCTCTTGTTCATTTCATTTGTTAAAAACAGTTTGCTCTGCATTTCTGATTAGAACAGTAGCACTTATTTATTTCACAGTGCCACTGTGCCATCTCTTGGAAGCATCCACAGTGACGGGCTGCTTTGACAAACTATTTTGAAAGTTTTTTTTTTAAATAAAGGATCATACTATATTTCATAATTCCAGTTATAAATGGCTTATAAAGGGTTAATACACTGTTAACAGCTATTATAACTATATTGCAGACATGAGTAGAATGCATTATAGATTGTCGTAAGCACATCAGCAGAAGGTGTTCTTGATGGTTAAAAGTTGGCTCTCATTAAATCACAATTGCACTGTAAAAAAATGCCCCAAAACAATGAATGTTAGACAATTTCAGGGACAGAATGAATTTTACAACTACATTGAGTCAATTTCAGGAATAGAATACATTTTATACATAATCAGCTTTAATAAGGGCAGGGTGAATTTTACATGTAATATAAGGGTATATCTACACTGCACAGCTATTTCGGGATACTGGAAGTATTCTGAAATAGCTACCCCATGTCTACACAAGCCGCCCGTCATTTCAAAATATTTTTCGAAATAATGGGCACACTATTTCGGCATCTTGGTAATCCTTTTTCCACAAGGGTTAAGGGATGTCTAGAAATAGCGCATTATTTTGAAATTTGGCACAGTGTAAACACACCATATTTCAAAATAAGCTATTTCAAACGACATTTGAAATAAGATACACAATTTGCATATCTTATTTCGAGTTTAGGATGCTGTGTAGACAAACCCTTTGTCAGTTTCAAGGATAGACTTAGTTTCCAACCTTGAAATTACCTAATATAGTGGTAAAATTCATTCCATATTCGAAATTCACTAACAGTAGCTGTAAAATTCATTCTATGCAAACTCCATGAAATTCAGTCCTTTGCCATTTAAACAGTTGTGGATTTTCTAAAAAAGAATTGCAATTTACACAGGGCTTTAGTTAAAAGCTACTTATTGACCTTTTGACCTGTGTAATAATCTATCATGTTTGATTAACAAATAATTCAATGATCTTTTACAAGCCCTTCATACATGGAACAGTAAAATAAAGTATGATCAAATAATGTGTTCATCTTCAAAGATGTTTCCCCACCTCTCTCCATGAAACTCATCACTTTTGATTTATTTTTAATTTGACACACATACCAAATAAATCTTTAGAGGACTTTTATTTGGGGAGTAATATGCATCTGGCAGGTGCAAATATAACTTCTCATGGTCTTGTCCTGCACAGTCATCTGTTTTCCTCTCATCTATCTTCCCCCATCTATCTGTGGTTCAGACAATCTCATCCATCTAGAGAAGGGCATTGGCATTGCTTGTGGCAGTGACGAAATTCAGTTATTGATATTTGTATTCTCACCCTCTCAAGTGCAGAGAAGTTAATCTTTCTGATGGAAAGTTGATTTCTAAGGGTATATCTACACTTGCTCCCTAGTTTGAACATGGGATGCAAATGTAGGCATCCTCAAATGTTACTGCTCAAATCTTACTCCTCAAAAAATGAGGAGTAACGTTAGTTCGAACCAAGGGGTTTGGTTCGAACTAACGCTCCCCGGTGCGCACTTTCACTTTCGAAACAGCTGTTGAGCGGAGTAATGCGCCAGCGAGATCATGCTAATGAAGCGCGGGATATTTAAATTCCCATTTCATTAGCACTTTCGGTCCCCTACATTTGCATCCCTAGTTCGAACTAGGGAGCAAGTGTAGATGTACCCCAACTTTAACATGTTTTCCAGCCACATTTTATGGAGAATATTCCTGCCACTTGAGAGCATGAGTTTATCCAGCTGAAGCCTAGAACAGCACCATATGTTATTATTTTGAACATCATGCATCTTATTCAAGTGGCCTAATATGGATTAAGGTTAATAGGCAGCAGGTTTAAAACAAGTAAAAGGAAGTTTTTCTTCATTCAACGCACTGCCAACCTGTGGAACTCCTTGCCAGAGGATGTGGTGAAGGCTAGGACTTTAACAGGGTTCAAAAAAGTGCTAGACAGATTGATGGACATTAGGTCCATCAATAGCTATTAGCCAGGATGGGCAGGAATGGTGTTCTTAGCCTCTGTTTGTCTGGAAATGGATGACAGGAGAGGGATTATGTGAGGATTACTTGTTGTGTCCCCTCCCTCTGGGGCATCTGGCATTGGCCCCTGTGGGCAGATAGGACACTGGGCTAGACAGATCTTTGGCTGTTCTTAAGGTGCCTGGGTTTAGACACCCTAGTTGGCCCCAAAAGTCTAACACTTTAAAAGGGCCTTCATTTAAAAATCATGGTTTGAAAATTGGTTTCCCCAGAATTAAACATTGTTTGATAAATGCAAAGACCCATCAAACCATGCGTGTTTCTATAAGTACACAGTCATGCCCAGTGCCTCTGCTGCGTGTGTATACTCACTGTTGTGTCACTCACATGAGACAAATGACTGCTAAATCTCAGCGACCATTTAACGATCAGTTGATATTTTTCAGAGCTAAATGGCATGTATTTGGGAACCTAATTCAGACTGGTTGGATATTCTGTTTATCTCTGAGCACTGTCCAGACACCAGTTAAATACTTAACTATATTTCTTCTTCAGCCCTTCTTCGCCCAAACAATGTCTACCTCACTCTAATCCGCTCGAGTCTTTGCCTGTACACCTGATTCTGAAACAAGACAGGCTTTAATATGATTAATTAAGTTTTGATTTTGGAAGTCAAGTGATTCCTTAGTAACTCATCTCAGTGCTCATGTTAATGAGGGTATAAAGTGATCTCACAAAGACCTACCTGTTGAGCAATAGCAGGCTGTTAATAATTTAACAGATTGGGAAGGAAAGCTCTTCCTGGTACTTAATCAGTGACTTGTTATACGCTTAACATCTGGGCACTGCTTTTGGAATTATTCTGGCTTGGTTCTTTTCATGGCTCCCCCTTCTTTTACAGAAAAGCCTCTTGCATGGGTTGTGTGAGAGGCACCTGGGGATATCCAGGGACACTCTGGATACCTCTCACAGGGCTTAGCCCTGCGTGTCAGCTCTGCCAAGCTCAGAGCAGAGAGGGGGCGGGGGGGTTGTTCTCAGTGACGTGCATCCAGCTAAGTTCAAGCTGTCGTGGGCCGCTCTACCTTACTCCGCCCCTGGAGAATCAGAGGTAGCGAAAGCCTTTTTCCAGCCATTCCATTCCCCTGTGCTCCCGGCCCTCCTTCCTCCCCCTGCAGGGAGTGGAGGTTCTGTAAAGAAGGCAGAGAAGCCAGCAACAGCAGAGCGGCTGCTTCTGTCTTTATGCCCACAGATTCCTAACTTTCCAAGGGCAGTCCCTGGCTGCTTTAGGTAAGCTGGGAAAAGTGAACTTGTCAGTCGGAGAATCTGGCTCAGAGACAGGCGTCCTTTCCATGGTTGCCAGCACTTAAATGTTCGTGTTACCCCCTGCCATAAAGGGCCCAAAGGTATCCCTAGTGTAAATCCATTAAGGCTTCATTTGACTTCAGTCCAGTCCACATTGCTGGTGTCTCCCACTGTTTCTGAAGGGCTTGATGAGGGTAAATGCTTGCTTCCAGGATAGTTCTTACCAATCTTTGCTTTAGAGGCTGCAGCGAAACTGCCTTTCCCTCTTCTCCTCTGTGTCCTGCTGGCTTCGTGGGTCTTCCTGAATCCTGCCACCTCGCCCCCCCCCCTGAAGCCATAAATAAAATGCTCCAGGGACATGCTAAGCAGCTGCCAGTGACAGAGGTGTGTAAACTGTATCCTGAGAGCCATGCCTGAGGCATCCTTGGTGCCATGCTTCTTGCTGCTCTCCAGACATTGCTCTGTTAACCGCTCACATGGTAAAAGGGTTGTGAGCTTCCGCTTGGACTAACAGGAGCCCTGAGGAACAGTCAAGCTCTAATCACCGAGCGCAGCATAGACTTCAGTATGACTATACATGATGCACCTTATGTGTCTGTCCCCCAGCACTGGAATCCAGGTCTTAAACGCACCACTGCTTATTAGTCACAGTGCTTGAGACTACCTCTCAGTACCTCTCTGGGGTGTCACATTTTATTTGTGCAGTAAGAAACTTGGTCTTCGGGCTGTAGCGTTTCTTGAAGCTGTATCTACCATATGTGTTGTAAAGTGCCTACCCCTGTGGTACTTTTTCCCCAACTGGTAGCTGACATGGTCAGGGATCTTCCCAAACAGCCCACTTCCTCTTACAGTGAATGAAATGGAAAAGCATAGTTAAATGTTCCTGGAAAGCAGGAATCACTGGCCAGACCCCAGAGTGATGCATGATCTGAGGGCCGATGAAGCCGCTTGTTTGTGTTGGGTGCATGGGGTTCCAACAGTAAGTAGAATGTTCCAAACTAGGAAAGATTTCAGGGTAGCACCATAATCTGTACTACCAAGAGTCCCACTGTGCTTTGCTAATCGTTTCAGCAAGCTGAGTGCAGGACATAGTGCACCTATTCCTGTAGCGGTTGGAAACATATGTGTGTTCCATCTGCTTCTATTAATAGCCTGGAAGCTGTCCCATCCAGCTCTTCTTTCTGAGGCTGCTTATGTAAACGCTGCAGTACTGCTGCCTGCTGGTCACAAAGGAGCATGTGCAATCAAGAGAGAAATTTCTTGCCAAACAGCTTAATTTGTACAATTATTTTTAAAACTACAGAGTTGAAAAAAACAAGCAGTGAATTTAAATGTAAAATCCTGACGTCTGTTATTATCATGCTGGGCATGAATGAAAAGGAAGGTTTTGTTTTGTGGAATAGAAAACGGCAGGACAGCTATTCTATATTTCAATGTCTGATATATGTAATATATAAAAAGATAAATCTGAAATTGGTTTGTTATTATCATTGTTGACTTTTCTTTTTACAGACTCACACTATTTATTTACCATGGTTTGCAACATTTTTGCTATTGATTGAACCTCTCTAAACCGGGACTGTCCTGCAAGGGAAAAATCCCTCATCCGGGACTGGTCAGGTCCTGAGGATGCCAGAACAGGGAGATCCAGCCTGTAGCAGACAATGTACGCAACATGTACATTGATACAATAGGACACAGGTACGGGGACAAAATCATAACTTTTCAAAAAGTGCCGGCAGAGCTCTGAGGCTATTTATGTATTTGTGTTGCAGTCGTACCTCTGCTGAACGATCTCACTAGGCACCATATGGATGTAACATGGACATGGCCTTAGGTTTTAAAGTCACACTGAAAACACTGCCACAGAACTAAACCACATGAAATTCAGGGTGCCTGTTTCAGAAGGCTGAAGGGCTGAAATGCTGAAGGGCTGCGGGAGTAGAGACAGAAAGCAAGATTTGAAAGTGATGGGTGGTCCATAAAGTGCTGCTAAAGAGAGATGCAGGCTTACGGGAGAAGAAGGAGCCTTGGGATATGGAGGGAGGCACCAAAATGTCCCGTCACCTTACTCCAACATAGCAAAAATAATTTTTAAAAGGTGTATTAAAAGGAGTAAAGAAAAATCAACGTTTCTAACTAATTTCCCTCCTTATTTCTTCTACCTATGGCTCTGACAATGTAGTTGACAAATTATTTGGCACCCACAAGCAGAATAGTTGTGTGGTAAAACACAAACACACCTGTTTATGTTACACACCCCGCAGACACGTGTGACTTCAGGATTTCTACTACAGAAAGCGCATA